AAACTGGAATCAGCACCTCCAAGAGTTGAAAGTCACTGTCCATGAGGTAAAAGACTGGGAACGGTCTCAGGTGAGGGGCCGCAAACCCCTGCAGTTTATTATAAACCTATTATGGTACTGTCGACTTCTTGAGTTACGCATATTCGACTTGGATTTAAAAAAGAATGCCCACATTCTACTACTCTACTTATGTATGTGTAAAACTATAAAATGGCAGGGAAGTTTCTGACTCATACTAGAGACCAGTTAATAACTTAACAGTATGATTACCGATTATAAACCTACCTGAGATCAAATGAATTAATCTAGTAGTAACACATCCAACAAATTATTATTTATTAGATTAAGCTTTCACGGAAATGCTACAGAGCATAGAAAAAAATTTACGGGAGTAAAAATCTAAGTTTTTAATTTATTGTTCTACTTATGCATTTAGCAATGGAGACAAATTTTGCCCTGTGAAGTGAAACCATCTGGTCAGTGCAGCTGGTGTGACTGGACGAAGATATGAAAGAAATATAATAACTGACACAGATAAACCACTGGGCTCACAGATATTTACTATGAACAAATAAGGGCCAGAATTTCAGTAACAGTTGCAACCGATTTTATTCAGCCAAAACGATTATTAATACGTATTTTTTTCTGGTGCCCCCTCTCCCCCAAAAAAAGAGAAAGTAAAACTTGATGTCATTTAATAAAGACATTGGAAAAATAAAAGTTTTTGCACAATTCTTTTTTAGTATTAGAGTTTAAAATTAAAATACTCATCGTATAAAATGCACAGATCTAAGTGTGTAGTTCAGTAAGTTTTTTTAAACCAACTGTGAAGTATAATTTGTGAATAATAAAATATACCCGTTTAAATGTTCAGTTCAGTGAATTTTAAGCAATGTCTACACCCAAGTAACTATCAACACAACCAAGATACAGAATATTCCCATCACCCCAAAAAGTTCACTTGTGCTTCTGGTCCTAGTCAATTCAACCCCCCTACCTCTAACCCCGTTGCCACCAACCACTGCTCTGCTTTGTACCCTTCAAAATATTTTTCCATGCCACCTAACTTACTGAATTTATTGGCATAAAGTTGTTCATAATACTCCTTATTATGCAGGGGAATTCCCTTTTTTCCTTCCTGATATTATTAATTTGTGTGTTCTCTCTTTTTTGGGGGGCCCATTTAGCTGGAGATTTATCAATTTTATTGATGTTTTTCATACAATTTTCTTCACTGTTGTCTTATATTTCACTGATTTCTCCTCTTATCTCTACTATTTCCTGTCTTCTCATTATTTTGGACTTACTTTGATTTTCTTTTTCCAATTTCTTATCCACAGTATATAGATGTGGTGTGCTTTGTGTAAAATCTAATCTGACAATCTTCATCCTTTAATTCAGGTATTTATACCATTTATATTTAATGCAATTACTGATACGTCTGGATTTAAATCTACCATCCTGCTAGTTGTTTAGTTATTTCTATTTGGCCCATTTCATCTTTGTTCCTTTTTTCCTTTCTCTGCCTTTTTCTTTTTTTTTTGGCTATTCCATCTTATCGACACTGTTGGCATATTAGCCATATCCCTTTAGTTTTTCACTGGTTCTACAGGGTTTACAATATGTATTTAGTTCATAATAGTCTATCTTCAAATAAGCTTGCACTTTACCAAAAATGTAAGAACAGTATACTTCCATTTCTTCTACTTATCCTTAGTGCTATTTATTGTTATCA